CCCTCCCTGCTTCAAGTGAGTCTGCTAACTACCCTGAGTAGATCAGGCGGCAGGGTGCCCCTTTACAGAAAGGGAAGTCACGAGCCCAGCGTGGGACTTGCCAAGGGCACACGAGTGGCCAAGAGTGCCCCAGAAGCTCCGTCTCGTCTCTCCAGTCCAGATCGGGTTCTGCGCATTTTGCTTCTCGATCCTCAACCCCCCTTTGATGGCTGTAGCCTGGAAGCGGCCAAATGGACACATAGCCCGTTGAGGTGGGGGTGAGGAATGTGTGCTCCAGGCTGGCCATTGGGGTCAGCTGAACACAGAGCAGCGGCGCAGTGGGGTCTGGGTAGCCACACCCGAATGGTTTGGGCAGTGTGTTTCTAGAGATTCACAGTCGAGAAAGGTCAGCACCAGACCCAGTGGTCTGTAGCTACTCGGCACACGCCCTGGCCTGTCCCAAGGGCATGAGCAGAGCCTGGTGTCGTGGCCAATGTGCCACAGGAGTGTGGACCTGGGCTCCTGGGTGGAGCCTCACAGTGGGTCTTCACAAGGAGTCTTCCTGGGCCTTCTTGACCCCAGCCTCTTTTCTTCCTTCCCAGTTTTGCCCCATGTCTGGCGGAAGACTCGAGCGTGGAGGTGAGGCTTAGATGGACGAGCACTTGCTTCAAAGCGAGCATAGAAGCGCCCATTGGCTCTCCTCTCTCACCTACGAGGCCAGCAGCGCGTGTGCACACACACGCTCACCCACTCTGGTGACGGTGACGTCACCTGGGCCTGCCTGCTGCATGCCCTGGACACCCCACTGGCTGGCTCGCTCTCTCAGCTGTTGCCGACTAGTCAGGGCGACACCTGTTCAGCGGGCTGTGCAGGGGCTGGGGGTGGAGGACATGTACCCCGCCGACCGCCAAGTGCTCGCTGCCACCCCCATGTCCTTTCCACTCACTCTAGGGCCACCAAACCCAACTCCATGGCATGCACAAGGGCCCCAAGGGATGCCAACTCCACCTGGAGGGTGAGCAGGCAGTGCCGGGAGTGCGTCTCCGCCTGCCCTCAGGAGTCCGCAGCGGGTCTTACACAAGGGTTTATTTCTTGGGGGGGGAGGTTAACTTGGGGGTGATTGCAGGACCACAAGGACTACTGATCTATCACGGACTGGGCAACAGCTCAAGCTACCATCCTCAGCACGACCCTCTGCTCTCGGGGAGCTGGGACCATAATGGCCAGCAGAGGGAGGGAGGACACCTGCTTCCCAGTCTGAGCATCGGCTCATTAGCAAGGTGACCCGATTTCCCCACCAGGGCTTTTCCTGGGGCTGCTGGGAGACATTTCACCAGCAGAGGGCTGTGTGTGTGGCCCCAAAGGAAGACGAGCAAGGCGAGCCCCTGGGACCACTCAGAGCATGGGCACCTCAGCCCATCAGACTGTCCAAGCATGGTGACTGGACCCAGCGACGACAGGACAGAAAATGTCAGCACACACCCAGGGATGGGGGAGCAAAAGGAGCCTGGCAGGAATCCCCACAACAGAGCTGTTAAAGGGGCGATTCACACACAAACCCAACAGCCTCTGACTCATCTCGGAGAGGGGTGGTGCCCTCTGAGGGTGGGGCTTCTCCAGGAGAGCGGGCACAAGTGGCCCTGGGCCTTAGGGGCTCCTGAACACCCTTCCTTCTCTGTGAAGGCCTAGTGGAGAGCGGAGAGGCCCACGTACCTGCTCTTGTCTTCAATCTTGAGGAACGGCACCTTCAGCCTGGCCACTGGAAGGAGAGGGGGCATACATTAGCTGGCTATCTGTCCGGTGCAGAATCTGTGCTGTCCCGGAGTGGAGGCTTGGCCAAAGCCTAAGAGCTTCCAGGCACTGTAAAGGTCCGTTGCCCAAGATATGCCATTCCCATCTTCTCTAACCCTGAGCCCCGGGACAGGAAAATACTCCACCCCTGGAGGAGAAGGTGCAAAGTGCCAGGGCCCTGGGCCTGGCTTTCCTGGGGGCTGAGGGCTGGAGACCTGGTGGTGGAGACCCACCAGCCTGGGGGATAACGAGGTGGGCCCATCAGCAGTGCACAGCCTCAGGATCAAGTTTCTAGAACGGCAGGCAGGCCTTCAGGCCCAATTCTCCAGGAGGGTTCTGGGTTTGGGGCGGGAGCTGATAGAAAGAGGGCTAACCGGGATTTCGAGATTCCAGTAGCAGAAAGGGAGAAAAATACCAAAGGGACGCCTGGTTTCTGAAAACAATCAGGTTTAGGAGAGCTGGAGAGACAGACCCCGCCGAGGGAACTCTGTGGATAGAGAGATGAGGTCTTTCCCAGGAGCTACTTGCACAAAGGAGGGTGGACTTCAGGCGTCAAGAAGCGCTTCTGGGGGGCCTGTGAGTGGGGTGACCCAGGTGGGCTGGGTGCCTACCAGACCTGACAGTCACCAACTCCGAGAGAGCTGGTGGCTCTTGGCCTGTGTGCAGCTGCCGCCAGTGCCCTGGAGAGAGAAGCAGCCTTTTCTCCGGGATCGGTAGCAGCTCCAATTAATTACTTTTTGGGGGGGATTTCTTGTCTTCCTAATTAACGATGACAGTGATTAAAATCAATTCCCCGGCAGACTCCCTTGCGTTTCGAGCAAGAGAGAGGCGCCAAGGGACTTTTCTTAGCTCCGCTTGGGCACGGGTAAACGCCACCGAGCAGTTCTGGGAGCCGCATCCAGGGGCGCAGTGCTCCCACGGTCCAAGAGCAGCCCCCGAGCCAGAGCCTGTCAATCTGTCATTTGTCAGTTGCAGGGAGCTTGGCATTTCTGAAATCGGTGCCCAGCTGTCACACTGCCCACCCCAAACTGTCCCTGCAAGGGAGGGAAGAGGATGCTTCCCCTTAACCCAGTCCCAGAAACAGCCAGAGGACACCCCCCACCCCAAGGGGGCCCTGGAGCCAAGGTGAAGCCCTTGGCCAGCAGCCCTGGCTGCTTGTGGACACGCCAGAAAGCTGGGGCCCAGGCCCTGGGAACACAAGGGGGCCCCACCACCTGGCCGCGTTGCTTCCTGCTGCAGAGAAGCGAGCAGCTGCCGCTCAGAGGGATGCGTTTAGGGAGGAGGGACTGCAATTACCCTGAGAAGCTGCCACACTGACCTTTCCGCCGTCTGGCCTCTGCTGCGGGACGCACTCCCTGGTCAGAAAGGGAAACGAGGGTAAGGACGGAAGGTGCCTGCAGGAAGTGGCTCGGCCACCGGCAGGCAGGCAACCGTGGAGGTACTCCAGTCTGCCGCAGAGTGAGAACTGGGGAAGACCCTGGCCTGGTGGGCACTGGATTGAGGGGAGCCCTCTTCTCTCACAAGAGGGGTCAGGGCTGAAAGTGGAGCCCGTGAGACCGAGGACAAGCAGCAGGGCAGTGCCCGCTATGGCAGCCTGTTTTCTTGGCACACCTCCAGGTTGGAGGATGGAGATGGGCCATCTGCTTCCCCAGGCCTGACCTTTGGCAGACGGATCCTGTCGGTCAAAACCAACACAAAAGCCAGGGCCAGGCGAAGGTGGTGTAAAAACCGAAATGAAACAATTGAAAAGTTAGCTATATGATAAGGAGCCCAGCCTCTGCTTAGGACAAATGACACCCAAGGGGCCTTCACAAATCCTCTGGGTCAGATCACACCCAGAACTCACTCTAAAAGGCTCCCAAACACAGTTCTACGGGGGATAAAAATAAAGGGCAAATGCTGGTCATTTGCATTAAAAAAACCAAACTCACTGCCCTTGAGTCCATGCCCATCCATGGTGACCCTACAGGACACTATGGCAATCATAGGACTGCCCCTGTGAGTTTCCAAGACTGTCACTCATTACAGGAGAAGTCTTGCCTTTCTCCCGTGGATCAGCTGATGGTTTTGAACTGCTGACGTTGGGGTTCACAGCCCAATTAATAACCACTCCACCACCAGCGCTCCCTTGAGCATTAAAGGGAGGGGCTCACGTGTATGAGTTAACTGAGAAAGCACTGCTTACTAGGGCTCGGGTTCATACACACAGGGAGAGATCTAGCCAACAAAATAGGTTTAAATATGTCTCTGTGAGCAGCGGGTGGTGGTAGAGAAGTTCTCAGTGACAACCTGTCCAAGTCTCACCCCGCCCCAGGCCACTGCCACTGCGTTGATTCTGACTCTCAGAGACCCTACATGAGTTTCTGAGCTGGCAAATCTTGAAGGGAACAGACAGGCTCAACTTTCTCCCTCTGAGCAACTGGAGGGTTTGACCTTGCGGTTAGCAAGCCAACCCTAACTTAAGCCACAGCGCCACCAGGGACCCTCTCTCTCATTAGGGTACCTTCAAAAAGTCTAATCAGAGCAGTGGTTTCCAAGGGGAGCTGCTGACCCCATTCAATTCCAGGCAGAGAGAGGTCAGCTCAGAAGGTTATAAAGAACGTCTCTGGGAATTCCATAGGGGTAACTTAGACAGAAGGAGCCCTGGGGGTGTACTGGTTACCCCTCAGGCTGCTAACCCCAACGTCAGCAGTTTGGATCCACCAGCCACCCCTCGGGAGAAAGATGAGGCAGGCTTCCTAGAGCTGTTAGGGTGTACAGTCTCGGAAACCCGCTGGGCTCCTTCTGCTCTGTCCTGCAGGGTGGAGTAGGAGGGGCTCAACTGCAGTGACTGAATCTTGAGATGTCCCTCAAGGGCACGGGGTAGTCACAGGAGCTGACTATGCAGAAATCTAAGAAACTGAAAACTACATTGGTGAGACAAAGAACCTGCTCATTCAGGGGCTGTTCCAGATGGATTTTGTTGGGAAACCACACCCCAGCCATGGCTAGCCCTGATCTTGCCCTGTTAGACTTTTGCATCCCAAAGTCCAAAAACATTGAAAAGGAACACAATTCAAGGCCCCCGAAGATGCTAAGACTGCTGTTTTAATGTGGGGTCGATCAAATCACACAGGCTTCTTGGAAGAGGGCTAGAAAGATGGCACCACCCTGAGCAGTGGATACACTAGGTAGAGGCGTATAAAAGCAATAGGAGCTTCACACGCTGCTGTTTTCCTTTAAAACAGGCTCTATGATTTTGAAGCAACACCCCTGTGTGCAGTCTTGGGAGGACATCTGAGAAAACTGTTAATGCTCTTTACCTCTGGGAAGAGGGGCAGGCACTGGGGGAGTGGGGAACAGGAAGATCTTTGTATGCTTTGAATTTTGAGCAATTCAAATCTACTCAGCTAAACCCAATACCATTGAGTCAATTTGGACTCACAGTGACCCTAGAGGTCATGGTAGCACTGCCCCTGTGGGTTTCCAAGATGTAAACTCATGAAGGGAGTAGAAAGCCTCGTCTTTCTCCCAAGGAGTGGCTGGTGGTTTCAAACCAATGACCTCGTGGTTAGCAGCCCCACACGTAACCACTACGCCAGCAGCAAACCTCCCAAGGCTCCTAAGGCAAGAGGTTGTGACCAGAGGGCAAAGTGGGAGGCTGAGGCCGAGCCCACCATCGGGCTTGGCTGTGGGGTGCTACTCCCACTGGGAGTCCTGTTCTAGGACGCAGACCGTGAGGCCGCCCGCAGTGCCTTACATCAGCCCAGGCATGACGCTGTGCTCCGGGGGTGGCATACAACGAGATCATAGCACCCTCATCCCACCCATGTCAGCTGCAGGTTAAGAAGGGCAGCCTGGCTTGCTCGTCATGAGTGCTTATGGACAGTGAACCACAGCCCCACCCCCACCCCCACCCCCCAGGGAGCGCAGGGAATAGAAAAAGGGCGACAGTAGGTGTGGACAGCAGAGATGAGGCAACTGAGAGGCTGCCCCCGTTGCACGACAGCCAGGGAGAAGGTTAGTCATGGGACTCTCAGAGTCGTCACACACCTCACTGAGAACCGTTTGCCTGGATTCAGCAGGTGACCTACCTCTGGCTTCTGTGCTTCCTGCTCCCTCACAGGCAGGGCGCCAGGAGACAGCTGCTGCAGGTGCAGCAGCATTTCTGTGAACAGAGCACACCATCAGAAGCCTCCCCTCCCTCCAGCACCGGCACAGTCCCTGCCTGGGGCCTGGCCTGCCACCTTCTGGTGACACGTCCCCTCTGTGCATCCTGACAACAGAGAATAGGGCTGGCCGGATGTCCTCTCCCTGGAACAGCACCTAAGCTGGTCACACTCTTTTGTGGCACAGATACGACTTAACAGTGGAACAGGAGGGGCCTTCTGGTTCACCAGCGAGCTGCTCCAGCAGAGTCCAAGCCAGGTGAGGCACTGGAGCATCCTTCTGGGGTGCGCCCTCCCACACAGGAAGGCAGCGTGCATGAGACCAGGTTAGCAGGCTGCTTTCCCAGGGAGATGGAGGTCCTAGGCCATGAGCTCCCGGTGCAGACCCACTATCTGCCCCAAATGCCTAGTTACTACTGGGCGGGTGGCACCCATCAGCACCTGTCTCAGTCCGTTCAGAGAACAGACTCCGAGTGCAGTGGAGCTGGGCTTTGGGGGTCAGGCATTGCCAGGGGAGTTAGACTGCTACACTAGTGCACACTGGTGACAAGCAGGTCACTGCACTGTGACGTAGCCCTGCTACTAACTTGGGACAAATCAGGGTCAGGACATGCTGGGTTGGGATGTAGGTCACCCCACTCATTCCTGGCCAGACCATGGACAATGAACTTAATCTCCCCGAGGCCCAATATCCTCATCTTGACAATGAGGGCAGGTTGGCGGGGAGGAATCAGTAGGCTAACTCCAGCCAAGAGTAAGGACCCACCCAATAAGTGGCTGTCGATATTACGCTGTTCCTTCTTAGTCAAATGAGGTCACCCCACACACTCCCCCGGCGCGTGAGGAGAGTTGTGCAGATGGAGGATCAGCAGCGGGTGCCAGGGGAGGTGGTGGCAAGGTCGCTGCCGCGCTCTCCCTGCCCTCCCCCACTCTGGACCAGCTCTTAGGGCAGCAGCTCCCCTCACCCCCTGGGAGCCCAGGGCAGACACAGTACCGTCCACGTGTAGAATCCGCACTCCCCAGGAGCGGGCATTGGCCAGGAGGCTGTTGCTGCCCCCACTGCCTCCTCGGCTGCTGCCCCCCTGGAAGAGGAAGCGACGTCAGGCAGGGCCCGAGGCTCCCAGAGGCCAGGGCACCCCGGGGGCGGGATGAGCGTGCAGTGCTGAGAGTCCCTCAGGATGCAAAGCTGCTCGCTGTCCAGGTGCTCCTGCCTGGCCACAGCGGACCAGAAGGTGCTGGGTGTGGGTGGGCCTCCGTGAGGATGGCACACGGTAAGGAGCAGTGACAGTCACCACCATCGCGGTGCCAATGCTGGCTACAGACTTGCCCTACAGCATAGCCCACACACCCATCTTGACGGGACCCCTTGAGCCCCTCTCCTCCGGCCCCCTAACTTGAACCGGCCCTGGAGTTGGGAAGATCAAGGAGGCCGATCCTGGCGTTGCCATGTCCTCTCTGGGGTCTGAACAAGTGACTCCACTCCCCTGGGACCCCCACACCTCACAGGGTGTGCTGTTCACTGCACTAGCTGGGAAGCTCCTCAGAGGAAACGCGGAGCCCTTCGCCCAGGGCTGCCGACAGATGTCCACTTCCAGCTCCCCCCACACCCCCGCCTCCCCTGCTTCTGCAAACCGCCCACCCCCCCACCTGGTTTCTGATGGCCTTCCGCAGCAGCTCCTTCCCTCGGCTCGTAGGCACCTGACAAGGAGAGCAGAGCCATGAGTGGGTGTACCCACCTGTGCTGGCGAGGACGCCGTGGGCAGTGAGAGTGGAGGGGTGGCCACAATGACGAGCCCAGGGAACTTGGGAAGCCAGGGAGACCCACCAGCCACCTGCGGTCTGGGAGGCCTGACCCTGGCAGAGACAGGAGGCACTCGGAATCCACCAGAAGTCAAGCTGCGCTCTGAGCAAGTGGCCTTGCTCTCGGTGGTGGGTAACCACAGCAGGTGCGTCCTTTAAAAAAGAGCTTTCTGTGCTCCTTAGAAGCACTGCCCTTAGCCACAATGCCAACGGTGCAGGTTTGGGGACATGTTCATGCTTGCCAAAGTAAAGCAAGACGAGGCATGTCCACACAGGGAAAAGGTTAGTGCATTCTGAGTCAAAGACATGACATCTGCAATGTCCACTCTTGACCCTTCACACGAGAGCAAGGCCCCAAAAGGCCAACTTCAGCAAATCCTGAGGGGCACAATAGTGACCCTCTTATTGTTTTGAAACTCTGGACTCTGCTGTTCCCTGTATGTGTTGCAGAAGAAAATCCACACTGCTGGGGTGTTCAGGGTCAGAGCTCTGAGACAATACTCTGAGTATCTGATTCGACCACGAGTTTAAATCCAACCACCTTAAGCTGAAAAGGAGTCCTTGAGGCTTACCCCCTCCTCTTGTTTACGGAATCACATCCCCAACCCCCACCCCGGTGGTCTGGCCCCTACCCAGGCTCTCACCGGGTCAGCAGCTTTTTCTGAGGCTGGGATGTGACTGCTTTGGCAGTGGAATTGGCCAAGGGCGGCGTCTCCTCCACTCTGGCCTCACTGGGGCTGGTTCGTAGTTCTCTGCCCTCGCCCTCTGCGGCCGGACACAAGTAGCTGACTTCTCTGCTCAGAAAGCCCTCCATGGCCTGAAACCAGAGCACAGCACTGGCTGAGAACCAAAAGGCAGATGCAGGGCTGTCGATACCAAGAGGCCGGGGATGCTGCCAGAAGCTAGGAACCAGCGTCTTTGAACAGAGCAGACCTGTCTCCAGAACTGTGCTCCTGACCCGAGAGCAAGGGCCATGGGCCTGGAGTTGTGTGGCTGCTTGGTACTGAAATACAGCAAAAGCACACGGAAGAAGTGGCCCGGCCTCGGGGTCAGGTGGCTAAGTCACCATTTCCCTGCGGGAGAGACACTGGGCCATTCAGATACATCTGTGATTTTGACCACACTGGGAAACGGAGTGTGAACAATGAAGCCAGAGGGCTTCAGCTCTCACAGCACTGAGCCGGGCAGGGGTCTGCTCAGCATCCCCGACTGGAAGCCCCTCCGAGGGCCTGACTCATTTCACATCCCAAGCAGCAGCATAGTTACTGAACCATGCCACTTTAACTCATGTTTATGGAAAGATGGAAATAAGCAGTGATGAGCTGGTAAATGATTAATGATGAACTCTTGGGGGGAGGCGGATATGTGCTTTGCCAATTCCTAGGGTAAACACTCCCACCCTTGACTGATTCCAAGCTACCAACATGACACCACTGAATGCAGCGCTGGGCAGAGATGCTAACAATCGAGCCAGTGCCGGCCAGTTCCAGCATACCACTGAAAAGCCAGATGGCTGATGGCTCAGAAGTAAGACAACAGGATGACAGAGCTGACACGAGGAGGGGAAATACCCCTATGGTTATGGCTTCATGGAGTACACCTACCTTCTTGAATATGGCAAGAACAAATACATGCTAGAGGGCTGGAGTGGCCCCAAACATTATCCTACATCATAACGGGGGGAGACGGTTTCACGGGGAGCACAAATACTTCTCATCCCTGTACCCGCCCCCCTCCACTGCTTCGCGATGAGACGTCGCTGCTTTTCCCATCAAAAGGTGGAGCCCAATGTTTTTGTCCCTGTGAATCTCTTTGACCAGTAAAAGGTGGTCAAAGTCCTCTGTGTTGAGTTCTAGAGCCTAGGCCTCAAGAGGCCCGTGGCTCCCCCTTCCGCCATCTGGGATGAGAACATCAGAGGACATGGGGCAGAAAACTGAGGTGGCCCCGCTGACAGCCAGCACCAACTCCCTGACCTGTGAGAGGCCAGGCCATCTCCCGCCATCTGGCTCAGGTGATCCTCCAGCCAAAGGTAGCTGCATGAGTGTGCCCTGGGGAAGCCAGCTGAGAAACCCCACCCCACAGAACAGTGAGAAAGCACCGTTGTTTCAAGCCTATGGTTCTGGGGTGGCTTACACAGCAAAAGTTAAATGACAGAATAGGCTGAAAGTGTACAGTTTGGCACCTCATTCTGGTCAACCCCTCAGCGAGGCTCTTAGCTCCGTGAATTTGTGAGGTCAACAGCGGAGAGCTGTTGCATTCCAAGCCTACCCGTGCCTATGTCCCCGGTGACCGGACTCTGCTTTCTGAACACAAGTAATAACCAGGTCCACCCTTACTAAAGGGCGTGCTTTAAGCCCATTTTAACATGGGGGAGGGACAGTGCAGAGGGGGTAGGGGAAGGTAAAGGAGAGCTGATGTTTAGGAGTTCAAGAAGGAAGAGAATGTTTTGAAACTGATTGTGGTAGCAATTGTACACTACTGCTTGATGTATTTGAACTATGGAATGATATGATACCTGTATTAGCTCCCAATAAAATGGTTTTTGGAAAAAAAAAATATATATATATTTGAATGAATTGAAAAACAGCATATGCTTTTTACCAAGAGTCATCCACCACCGTGCTACTTATGAAAGCTGGAAAATGAGAAGTAACTTCAATGCCCCAGAGTCACAGTTAAGAAAACGCACATCTAACTCAAAAGAATATTACATTCCTATGGCATATCATTCATGGGAGGGACAATGATAGGGAAATGTCCCTATTTTTAAGGTTATGTGCCAACAGGTGGTAGTTCAAAACGTGCTTACCATCAGCCAGAGTTACACAGACGGCAAACAGGCATTCAGGAACAAATAAGATAAAGACAGAAAGTAGATTACTAGTTGCGCAGGGTCGGAAGGGAGCGGGTAATGGCGGCTGGTGAGCATGGGGTTTCGCTCTGGGGTGGCGCAATGTTCTCAAACTGACTGTGGAGGTGGTGGCGCAGACCTGTGACTGTACTAAGTACCGCTGAAGCATATACTTTAAAGGAGTGAATTGTATGGCGGGTGAGTTACATCTGCATAAACTTTATAAAAATAAAAAGCAGAAGCAGAAAGAACAGACGAAAATAAAGCCAAATGCTGGCTGTCACGTGGAGCAGTTCCACGTTCTCCAGGGCTTTTAAACTACACAGCTAGAACTGCTCCAACTAGGGGAAAAATGGGAGATTTCAAAGCACTTGATCCCTGAACATAGTGATACCTCTGGAAATACCTGGAAATGGCAGCTACACGCCATCTCCAGCTCCCGCCTCTCGCCCCACAGAGGCCCAGGCTAGCACGGGGAAGACCGGTCACGTACCCCTCCCAGCTTCTGGATGGCTGCGGTCAAAAGCTTGAGGTTCTTGCAGCACTGTCCACTCGTAAATGGTCAGCAGACGAGAACGTCTCACGCCCATCAGCAGATGCACGAAGAAGCAACATGCGGGAAAGTCATACAACGGCTAGCTACCCAGCAACAAAACGGAGCGGGTGCGTAGATCCAAGTAAAAGGACTTCCCAGAAAAGGGCCGCCTCCTGGCACTTAGGGAGCTCTTCCGCCATTCTTCCGGGCAACTGGACGCTCCTAGCTGAGCCCCTAGAAGACGAGGAGGAGGAAAGGAAGACGCTGCTACAGAAGGAAGAGGTGGGCCACGTCGAGTCAAGCAGCCCCTACATGCCAGACCCCGGCACACAAAGATGCCCGCGAGACTCCTGGTGCCCCTGGCACAGGTTTGAATGGCACAAGTTCTTGTTTTTAAACACCGTGTGATGCTCATCATCTCCACATCAGTAGGCACTTGTGTAGGGCAGGGAAAAGGGAGCGCTCAGGGGTCTCAAGTCTTTTCAATGTGTTTAACACAGGACCAGAAACCTTGGATAACCTCATGGAACCAGGCAGAGGGCACTGGTGATACTGGGAGTGCTAGTCAGGGCACTATAAGAAAAAGTTGCATTGCTGGGTCCGTGCGGTCGATGGCGGGCTTCAGGTGCAGGTCCCCACCATTTTAAGATAAATCAATGATGTGTAAGGCACAGTCAAAAAAGGAGAAGTTGAGAAGTTGGCTGTGGCTATGCCAGCAGGCAGGAAAGAAGACCTCGTACATTTGGCCAAATACCTTTTCATATAGCTTTTATGCGGTGTCCATATATAACACATATAATCTACAAAATACATGTTAATGGACCGTTTCGGTATTAGGAAGGCCTCCAGACAACAGACTCTGAGTGATTAAGCTTTGGGGGAGTCAGGAATTATACAGCGGTGAGGATATACAATGCTACAGCCGTTGTGGACAACGTACGGGTCAAGAGTAAATCTCGAGTTGCAATACGGCACACGTCTACTTTCCATGTGACCCGGTGATTGCCCCACAGACGCAGGAAGACGCACAGAGGCTTGTTCATAGCAGCACTGTCCACTCGTAAATGGTCAGCAGACGAGAACGTCTCACGCCCATCAGCAGATGCACGAAGAAGCAACATGCGGGAAAGTCATACAAC